CTAATGAAAACTACAGACTCGGAATCTGTTGGTTGCAGATCTAGGTTGCCTATGACCAAGAATTAGGGAAGGGAGGGAGGGAGGGAGGGAGGGAGGGAGGGAGGGAGGGAAGGAAGGAAGGAAGGAAGGAAAGTATTGCAAAATTCTATCTCATATAAGCATAAAAAGAAAAATCTAAAAAAACTATTAAAAGGAATAAAAATAAATAACTATACAAAATAACAATAAACATATGGCTAATTAAACCTATCACAATACAAAACATTACGAACTAATAAGTCAAATACTCATTACAGCTGATCTGAGGCACGGGTCCTGATCTGAAGGATTTTCAGCGCTGCTGTGCAAAACTTGGCAACGTTGTGCGTTGTGGCAGGATTAGCATCAGGGAAGTGTAAAAACTGTCCTCTCTCCCGGAGGTATTTATGCAGGATTGGTGAGATGAGGCTGGCACGACTTGTCTCTGTAGTAGAAACGCTGGCGGAAAATATTCTCTCTCCAGGCAGAGAATTTTTTGGGGGTGCCCGGTTCCACATTTGAGGTCACAACGTCACAGATGTTGTGACGTTGCTTCTCTTGCCTTCTAAGAGATCTCTGCAGTTCTTGAGATTCCCTTAGCAAATTCCACTGTTCTGCAAATTCCACTGTCTCTTGATCTCTTTTTCTTTTCACATTTATCCTTAACCTCCTTCTTTAATTCATTGCACAATTATTCTGGCACCTTATCCGGGACATGAATAGCGTTGGTGTGTGGCTGTGTGAATATGTGTTTGTCTGAGCCTGCATATATATGCAGAACAAGGAGGAAAAGCTGAAATTCTTTCATATTACATAGTTAGAACATAGAAATAGAATAATAGAATAATAAAGCTGGAAGGGACCCTGGAGGTCTTCTAGTCCAGCCCCCTGCTCAAGCAGGAGACCCTATACCATTTCAGACAAATGGTTGTCTAATCTCTTCTTAAAAACCTCCAGTGATGGAGTACCCACAATTTCTAGTGGCAAGCTGTTCCCCTGGTTGATTGCTCTCACTTTCAGGAAATTTCTCTCCTTGGTTAGCTTCCATCATTTCTCGTCTTGTCTTTTGGTGCTTTGGAAAATAGTTCGTTAGTTCATGAAATTTGGGGACATCCACACACTTTAGTCTGTTTTGGGACAGCTGCTCCATTCCCTCTTTCTTTTCACTTTCTTCCCAAACAGGTTCTTTAGCCTAATTTGCTTTCTGCCTCTAGGATGTATAGATTTTATTTCACTTTGTTGGAAAAATCCCATGCAGCAGAAGAGTTCCAGGGTCTGGTTTTGTTGAAACGAAACAAATCATGGCTTGATTCACATCTGAAGTCTGAGTAGTGTCAGCTGAAGGAAGACACAGTCTAGAGTAGGGATCTGCAACCTTGACCGCTTTAAGACTTGTGGACTTCAGCTCCCAGAATTCCTCAGCCAGCATAGCTGGCTGAGGAATTCTGGGAGCTGAAGTCCACAAGTCTTAAAGCGGTCAAGGTTGCAGAGCCCTGTTCTAGAGTGATGTGCTTAGAAGCGAACAGATATAGTATAAGCGGAGCCGAGCACAAAAACATTGTATTATCCGCACGTTGTAAACATTTCTCGCACGGCACGCCTGACACCTATTTAGAAACACAACAGGACATGAAGAACAATCTTCCCTTTAAAGACTGTATAACTACAATGGCCAATGCTGTCAGTCCAGAGCATTGAAAACAAGAGCACTGGAATATTGGAGTATTCCAATGTTACACCACGCGGACTCAAAGGAACGTCCTCAACAGACAATCAAGCCCCTCCACAACAGAAGAAACACATCTTAGGAGCAACAAATCCCAAGCTTATTAATGTACTACAAGGAGGCATGCTCAAACCACGGGCAGCTTATCTGGGCTCAGGAGCTAAGCAGGGTTAGGATTAAGCAGAGTTAATACTTGGATATGACATCACTAGGCGATCCCGGAACGGCAGATTAAGCTGGTAAATTTAAATCAACAGCCGCCACACTCGGGGATGGGGGCAACATCAACTAAACAGCTGCTAGGAAAACGACACAGTAGCATTGTTATCCCAGCAAACTTTACGGCAGTTTTAAGATCCAGAAACAAAAGCTGTGCCCACACTTTCGGCATTTCCCAGAGCACCAATGTAAAGTGGGCTTAATGTATACACAGGGCCAAGTTTGAAGAGCCTTGATATAGTAGTAAGATATGTAACTTGGGCGCATCTCCCGATAAAAAGTTTCTGTCTGCATCAAGAGAGGTGCTTGTAGTTAGTGAACGTCTCCAAAACTAAGCTGGATGATTTTTCTTAGATCCTGGATTATTCAATTAAGGGGAGTTAATTGATTCTTTAAATCTTTTGGGTTAAGCACACAACAGGGGGCGTTATGTACTGGATCTTCCCAACCAAGTTTAAGTTTTGCCCCCAACTATTTCCTTATTGCGCCATCTGGTGGTTCACCCAGGATCAACGTTTGGAAAGCTTCTCTGGAATCAGGGTTAGGAATCTGAATCAATTTGCTCAGGAGCAGCTCTAAAGTAACCATAAAAATGCTATTATCGATGTCTTCGCCAAGAGACCACCACTAAATTTATTTGCAAAAATTATAGGAGGAAATCCCAGGTCAATAATTGCTGCAATGTTAGGAAGACAGGGGTTTGGACAGAGGCTTATGAGTCACAAATCTTATTATTATTATTATTATTATTATTAATTTAATTTGTACCCCGCCCTTCTCCTCATGGGACTCAGGGCAGCTAATAATCTTCAGTTATTATATTTGTAAAAACACCAGTTTATAAATCCTTTAGTTTCCATTACAACTGTGGGAGATGAAAATATAGCCCTCTCCTCATATAACAAGATGAGGCTGGAGTAAACCTGATAGGCCCCACAGGAGTGATTTAAAACGAACTCTATATTGTTTCACAATATGGACATATTTGTAATCTGCCGAGCTTTGTGCAATATGAAAATAGGTAGTTCTGTATATATTTGGAACATGAGTATTGTAACAGTAAGAAATAGAAAACTGAAAGTAGCTGATGGATGCGGGTTCCAATGTACACGGGTATATGTGGAAAGTTATGTTCAGAAGGTCAGCAGGAAGTCAGCAGATGCCAGCAAAAGTCAGCAGACCATCTGACTACAGTCTTAGAACGAGAAAGGGTATAAAGGGTTGGGACTGGATCTGATTGATTTGCCATTGGCCTATAGCTGTCTTTTGGAATCTGCTATGCCAGTGAACCTCATTGCAATGGGTTATTAATGTAAGTGACCTTGTGTTATTATGCTTGCTGTATTCCAAATTATTAGCAAAATAAACCTCTGAATCTTAAAGTAAGAATTATTGTTTTGTGTTGCTGTCTCTTGTCTTTTTCATTGGGTTTCCCACAACACAACTGATATTTCATACACTGTTTTGCAGGGACTCTCACTGTTCTGCACCATGACGAGTGTATCTCTCCAATTCATGTATTGTTACGTTCAGCTCCTCCTTTCTGTCAGTAAATGCCTAGAGAATTTTAAACAGATGCCTGATATGTAATGTCATCCAAGCAAGGTTTTTTTTTTTTTTAGTCAAACATTTATGTCTTTAGTGAAAATACACTTCAGGTTTTCCTTGAACCTCACTGGAAATTGTCTTTTTTTTAAAAATAATAATAATAATAATACAACAGCACTTAAGACTTACATATTGCCCCATAGTGCTTTACAGAACTCTCTAAGCGGTTTCAGAGTCAACGTTTTTTCTCCCCAACAATCTGGGTCCTCATTTTACCGACCTGGGAATAACAGAGGGCCGAATCAACCTTGAGATGGTCAGGATTGAACTGCTGGCAGTGGGCAGAGTCAGCCTGCAATACTGCCTTTTAACCACTGTGCCACCAAGGGAGGGACTAGCAATAGCATTTAGACTTATATACCACTTCACCCTCTCTAATGGAACTCTAAAGCTTCCTCCTTCCGTTATGTATTCAAGATGGACAGTGATTAATATTGATATGTTACTTATATGTACGGTTGTAGGTCTATACATATATTGTATGTAGTATGTTTAAATGTGTTATATATGTGTACACTCTGAGAGCAAGCAACTAAAATTCATTTTTAACATGTGCTGTTGTGCCCACAGTAAAAAAAAAATGACAATAAAGGTTATCTAATATAATCTAAGCAGTTTGCAGTGTCAGCCTATTTGCCCCCAACAATCTGGGTCCTCATTTTACCGGCCTCGGAAGGAAGAATGGAAGGCTGAGTCAACCTCGTGAGCTGGTCAGGATCGAACCGCTGGCCGTGGAGAGCAGAGTCAGCCTGCAATGCTGCACTCTCGCCACCAGGGGCTCTTCCGGTTGAAAGCTGGCTAGTTTCTGTAACTTTTCCTTTTAGCCTAATTGTGAGTTGGGCCCAAAGCGCTACTTTTGACTCTGCTAAGCAGGGAAGGCGGAAGAGAAGCGGAGGGTCAGTGGCAAGAGGCTGGACACAATTACAGGCCAACGTATTCCGTTGGGAGACCTGTAGAACCCAGCTGGGGTGAGATCATGATGACTGGGTGCTTGCTAATAATGGACTTGATGGCATCTAATCAGCCGGTCAGTCAGTCGGTCAATCCTGTCCTTCACAGAATGAACATCAGTGTGTGCTTATGTACGCATATGCATGCACACATAAAACTGTTAAATCCAGGGGCCGGCTATTTCTCTGTCGATGAGGGTCCAACACTGAATGTAAAACTTTCTGGATAAATAACCTATCGAGGCACGCCCAGGTCCTTAAACAAGCAAAACAACGACATTATTTTCAACTAAAAGAGGACCTGGCCATTGGCTAGACAGCATGCTGCGCATCTGAAGTACAGAGGGTGTCGGATCCCGAGAATACAATCCTACGCATAGTTAGCCAGCCACAGAGTTTATGGCCAGAATGGGGAAGTCACCAGCCTTAGGGCCGCATTTGGTACGTTAACAGAAGTTTAAAGTAAGTTATTTATTTTACACAATTAAATACAAAAATGAAATGTATCGGACGTATCAAAGAACGATCTCACTTGGAAAGAGAGAGGAAAAAAAAGAATTTAACTGTCCGAGTTTGGCACCCCAAAGCAACGGAGTAGTGTAAAAATGGTCACAGATGCACTTCCTAAAAGCAGACCCAACAAGCAGAGCCATCTCACCCGGGAGGGCCTCCCACTTCAAATGCCTTCATTAGGTCGACCACAGAAAATTGTCTGGAGCAGAGAACGAATGTTCCCTTTTTAAACCCTTTTAGGGATGTTCAGTAGCACTACACAGTAGTTTCATGTTTCCAGAAGCCAGTCCTAATATTTCCAGTGCTGTCGGCACTCAGAAATGTCCCATCCTGGGCGCTGCTTTTCAGAGGTCCGTTCTGGACCGCTAAATTTAAGCCGTAGGACTTCTGCTGCCCTTCCAACTCAACCACAATGGGCTTCCTCAGCGGCTCCTTTTTCAAGCTGGGCGGCCCCGCTTGGTCGGTGTTCCGGTGTCCTTTCTGAAGAGAGCTGTAAGCGTCGCTGCTGTCCGGCTGGGACTGGTTATACTGGCGTTCCCTGTAGGCCAGGTAAGCTCTCCGGGTCCTTGAGTGCCCTTCGGCCGTAGTTTGACGCGTCTTAATTAAGCCGTTCTGGATGCTCCCTTCCACGCTGGTGGGGACGTCGTAGGCGTACTCCCGCAAGACGGCCAGTCGGCTGGCACGGTGCCCTTTGCTCCGGTTTTTGTGATGGCGGCCGGGGTGCCCGTTTGTCCGCAAAGGCATCTCTAAAGGGGCCACGTGCATCTTGATCTCGTTGTCCACAGAGTATTCGGTAAGGCTGTTGTCCAGAGGAGGGCCAGCGCTGGGGGCCACCGGGCTTAGAGGGCACTGGGCCGCCGCTGCCTGGATGTTGGTCAGTTTGCAACCTTGCAAAGAGTTTTTTAAACTTGAGACACTTTTGTTCGTGCACGAGGACTCTGCGCTGCTGTTGGTGCACTTGGCGGGGTCTCCGTTAGAGCCACTCGCCCCGGACGAAGGCGGAACGTCAACTTGTACCGAATATGCGCTCCTTCCGGGGCAGCAGGACCTCAACCAAGAATGCCGGAGGTCTTCTCTATTAACGCCGTGGTGCATTATTAAAAAACTGCTAAGGCACAAACACAGGGCTCCAAAAAAGCAGCTGAAGACTAAATCCAGGGGATAAGATGAAGCGACAGAGAGGGCCCCCAAAACCCACAGAGCCACGTACAGGAACAAAGTGAGGCTCACGCCCCGAAGTTGTGCGTGGAAGCTGTGCTCGTTTTCCAAAGCTACAGTGGAGATCAGCGACACGGAGAGGGAATCCTGATTGTTCAGGCTGCCGTGTTCGTTGGTGGCCAGGCGCTGCTGCTCCTCGGTGGGCTCCTTAAGCTCAAACTTACGTTCGGGGTGCCTCTTCAGTTGTATAAATATGCTGAGGAAATACATGCAGTTGACAAAAATGATGAAGCCGGCCGGTCCATAGAAAGCTCCCAAGCTCGGTTCCCAGGCCATCCAACAACTGCGAGAAAAGAGAACAATCCTAAGAAAAGTGCAGCATCTAACCGAAGCTTTTCAGATCAGGTTCTCCGCAGCCCCCCTCCCCGCAAACTAAGACCACAAGGCCATACTCACTACGCTGAGTGAGGCTTGCTCCCGTAATTTCTTATATTTGCAGCAGCCGTTATCCCGCAAACTATGACGGGGATTCCTCCACCAATTAGGTAGAACCTAAAAACAAAGAAGACAGATGCAGCCTATTGGTTTAAATGGTCAGAAATGTCAATAAAGGAGAATATTTGTAGCTCAGGGCTGACATGAGGGATCCCTGGTGCTCCTCTGAGCGTGGCTGTTTTCTTGCAGACGTTTCATTACTCAAACCAGGTAACATCAGGGTTCGTAAAGAGTGGTGTCTGCTCTCAAAAGACACATAAACAATATCTGCATGCTATGCAAAAGAGACAATCAAACAGCCGAAAAATGGAACAAAAAAGACCCAGGCATCTCTCCACCAGCAATCGGCACCCACATCAGCATAGTTTAACTCCAAGATTAACATCAGATCAATAATCAAGTAAACAAGAGTGGCGAAAATCTGTAGCTCGGGTGTAGGATGAGGGTTGAAGGTTGCTGAAGATACCTAGCCTAGTTCAGAAACCAACCCAAAACCTTCACCCTCAAGTAAACAATAGCCCAATCGAGGACCTGCCAAAGAAGCCAACTGCAAACAGCCCACCCAAAGACCTTCTAAGACCACCCCCACCAACGCTGACAGGAGAAGACCCCAGGATATATAAACTGAGAGCAAACTTTACTTCTTACTAGCATTGCCTAGATGTCTGCAGGAAAACAAGCAAGCTCAGAGACCACCAAGGACCCCTCAGTCAGAAATAGGATTTGCTATCTGTGCCCATGAATGAACTTGAGGAAGCTTCCAAACCACAGCACCGTTAACGAGAGCTTTATATTGTTTCAGTGATTGTGAACTGAATAGATGGCTAGCTCAAAACCAAAGGGATTCGATTTCCCCCATGCTTCCAGGGATGTTTGCCAGCTGGATTATTCAACAGACAGAAGTACGTTAAGCGGATGACAACCGCTACGCTCAACCCACACAAGAGGTAGAGGATGGCTTTACGTCCTGATTCTCCGTACCCCATGGCAGAGAAGGGCTAGATCTGTGCTCCCACTGCAACTGGAAGAGGGGAGTGGGGTGGGATCGCAAGGAGGGCACTTCACCTTCTGTTCCAAGACAGGCTATGTGGTACTTCTGTTTTGGTACCAGTTCTTTTGACATCTCAGGCATGGGAAAAGCTCCCCATCAATTTTACTCCTTGTACTTTTATAGTACTTTATATGAAATAAAATGCAATTAAAACCACCGTGTTACAATATTTTTACCCAATGTTGGGGAAAGCTGATCAGTTTCTGCCACCTTGTGGACAAAGATGAAGTAAAATTACTTTAACGAATAAGGTAGAGCAGTGATGGCGAACCTTTTAGAGACCGAGTGCCAAAACTGCAACCCAAAACCCACTTATGCATTGTCGGGTACCGGGTGGGTGTGGCCAATTGGGTAGGTGTGGCCCATTGGGTGGGCGTGGCTACAGTGGTAACAGCAGACTGGGTGGGACTAAAAAGTTCAATCAATCAATTCCAACTTTGCGAGATCTTTTTTTTTTCCTGCGAGAAGTTGAAATTGACTGATTGATTGAACCCTTTTTTTTTTTTTTTTTGCACACAGCGGTGGAGGCCTAAAGCAAAAAGGTTTGATAAAACCCAGCTGAAGGCCTAGGACTGGGGCGACGGCGCGCGTGCCCAAAGAGAGGGCTCTGAGTGCCGCCTCTGGCACCCGTGCCATAGGTTCGCCACCACTGAGGTAGAGCAATATTCAAATGAGAAGCTGTGATCTGGAGCAAGATAAATGACAAATAAAGCAGACTGGAGTTGCCTCTTCATTTCTTAGTATTTTTCTGTTTTACACGTCTATCCAAAGTAGTTTTGAGCTTTTTCACAAGGAAAAGCTAGCACATCATAAAGGCACACAATAAAAATGTACATGGAGAATAAGCTGTCGTGAATAATTCCCAATTACCAAGATGTTAGTCTCAGGATAGCTTCAGTTATATTCCATTAGAAGCTTATGATATTTAACAGAAATACATGCTGGCTAGCAATCTTCCTACGCATGCAGCCAATTACATTTACAAGTCTTTTTTTTTTCCTGGTTAAAGTTCCATGACATGCAGTTCAACATGATAAAAAATGTTTGACATCCTGTCTCTGAAAAATTGTACGCAGCTTTTCCTAGGCATTCTGAAAACGTCATCCAGTTTGAAGGTGCACGAAGAGAGAGTCTATTCATATACATCTCAGTTTTATAAATATTCTCTTCTGCCATTAAGAATTTCCCTTTCTAGTTCTAAGGCCAGATATCCCTTATTTGTCATTTAGCTTTTCTTCGTGGCTTCTACGCAAGTATTGTGGACAAAAACCTACCTACTTCAGGTACCTAGTTAATAAGAATACCTGACACACAGATGATGCCAAATTATCTGTTGACAATATTTATATATCCAAAACATTTAAATTTTGCCTTTCTGGTGAGCATTCGCAATTAAAGATATGAAAAAAAAAGACTATATATAAAGATCACACTGTCATAAATCTGAGTGAAGAACAAAGCAAATAAAACATAACCTTTATGTAAAAGAGCAGGTAAGTACTACCCAAAACCCTTATGAGAATAAAATGGCTGTAACTGTCATTTTACTGTGGTGAGGGGCTGAAACTGGATTTAATGCTGGTGACAAATGATTAATGAGACTTGAAAGCAGGAAAACAACTAAAGCAAGAGTTCTTGGAGGGACTGATTAAATTATATGATTAATGAACTGAAAGAAAAGTCAGCAGAAGCAGAGATACCCAGAGTTCTCCGTGTACCATTAACAGGGACGTGAGAAAGAAAGAAAGAAGAAAAAAACATTATTGGATACAAAAACAGGATCTGACGTGAAATTGGTCTGAGTTATGAGCATGCTGGTTCCAAAATGATTCTGAGACAGGAGAACAGATGCATATTGCTTCCTCTAGACCTCTATCTTAAATAATTTCCAAATTAGTGAAGACTAAGCAAAAGTTTGTTTAAGAAGCCTTTTTAAAAAAAAAAAAAAGAAAAGAAAAAGAATCTGTAAAAATGCAAATAATGAAATTATATTCTTTAAAATGGTTGGTTGTCTTAAGTCTGCTTCCAAATTAAGTTAGCAGAAAGATCTTATTTACATCATGAAATTTCCTTGAATGGGATGACGACATATCCTTTGCTGAATTATATGTATTTGACTTAATTAAGGATTAAAATTAATTTCAAAACAGAATCGCTTCTAATTACTGAGTCTACTGCCAGTAATTAACATATATATATATATATCCTACATTTGTTTTTCACTTTAATATGGAAATTATAAAGCAACATTCCACATATTAAGTTGATTAAAGCCTTGCAAGCAAATGAGTTTTGATTAGCCAGTCTTACCAGTAAGAAACTTTCCTGCATTTCTACTGTTGCTATTGCTGAAGATTTATTATATGTTTTATTTAGGAGTTTATAATGAAAAAAAAAAAAAGAGAGAAACAAAAATGAACCCATTTTTCCTTCTCTGAATTCTCCTTCCCCAACAAAAACAAAACAAAACTGAAAGAAATAAAAGCCAATTCTTGATTTCAGCTCCAACATATTCACTGGATGTTAAAACATCCACTGGATGTGGAGCAATTTGTCTTTTTTGCAAGCGTCAAGTGAAGGATTCGAGATGGGTGTCCAGGCCTGTGGTCTTTTTTGGGACCTCCCCAACATCCTTGGTCTTTTGAGACACTCTTAATTTGGCACAACTATTTCAGCTACTCCATCAAATTTGGGCCAGCCAAGCTAGGGGGAAAGGGGGATTGCAATAAACAAGAGTTGATGCTGGCTTCTCACCTCAGCATCGGCCTCGGAGGGGGGGGCGGCTCCCCGGGATCTTGGCACCGCTTGGCTTTCCTGGTGACTTGTTTATAGACGTTCCGAGATGTGAGTCCTATCCACAACAATGTGGCAAGGGTAGAGTAGTGCAAGATGATCCCCACCTGGAAAACAGCCATCAAAAACTCCACGTCAAACAAAGGAGACCATTTTTTTTCCCCCACCTTTTCCCTCTCCAATTCTTCAGCTGCTTGTTTTGGAAGCAATAAACCCGTAAACCTTGAAAAGGAACAGAAAGGGTCATTTGGAAAGCGGCTGCTGGGGTTATTGTCCAACTAAAGAACTGGCTCAGTTTTCAAAATAGATACGCTTATTAAATTTTTAATTATTATATTTTTTTAAAACTCCGCTTTGTCTACTGCTCAGAAATCCCTTTACAAAAAAGAGTACAATTGTAAGGGCAGCGGATCATGACGCTGACCCAGGAAACCAGCGATTTGATTAATATTTCACAATATGTAAGATACCCTGTTTCCTATTCCTTTTCATTAAACACCTTCTCCTCAATCGATCATCAAATTCATCTTGCTCCAGCCAAAAAAAGAGAGAGAAAAAAGGAATTTTTAGCTCAGGCCAGACACCATGGGAGGAGGGACCACGATAAAAACAATGTATTGGAATTTAATTATGCACACTAAACATGATTATTCCCCCTTGCATTTAATGACATCTTAATCCCCCCCCCCCAAGAAAAATAGGCTAAGCTTTGGGAGTACCACAAAAGTTTACGGTCCTGCTCCACAGAACTAGAAGGGTAAGTTTTCCATTATAAATATTGAAATACAAATGATATATGACGCACTGGCATTAAGTGGAACATGTTATTTTTTTTTTGTTGCACGTTAATAAGAAATAGAAAGCAGAAGCTTTTGCAAGCTCTGATGCTAACCACACAGAGCCCCGATCCACAGAAGGGCCCTCAAGAAAAACATTTCCGTGATGATGATGATGATTATTTTAGATTACTGATTAACAAAACAAACAAGATGGATCTTCTCCTGCAAGGGGAACCTTTCCAGACCTGTCAGGGGCGCTGGTGACAGCTGACAGAATCTGGCAGCTGATCCCCTCTCATTTAAAGGAGGTTGGGGGGAAGGTTGCCATAAATCAAAGCCGCAAGTGTGATTTCTGTCAGGACCTTGTCTTGGGAGTCCTTTGACTTTTGGCTGAAAGAATTAATGGGCGCCATCCATCAAAATAAGGACCAAGGAAAGAGCATTTTAACTGCCAGGGCACTTCACTGGAGATCTCAAAGTGGCTATTTTGCAACCACAAAAATAACTGCCAGCACTATAGAACCAAGGGACTCACACACACAGGTCCACACAGGAACGAGTTACAGGCTATCTCAGAAGATCTTAACTAATAATAGTGGGCTAACTGATAAGATTCCTGTAATCTATTCACACATTATCTATCTAAACAAGCATGTCTTCTTTCCCTCCACACCTTGCCTTCAAATATTCAAATATTACATCAGTTTGGATCTTCCACGTAGGTGAAGTGAGCGGTAGCTCGTGAATTATATATTAAATCACCTGAAAATATGCTACTGGGCTCCTAGTCCTGGATCTTGGAATGGAAATGGTTTAAAAAATAGTCACCTTAGAATTAAAAGAAAAAGATGATTCGGAATGTTATGCGGTTTGGGAAAATTGGTGTAATTGGATAGACAATAGAAATAAAAATTGGAAATATACATAAGGTTATTGTGTAAATTAGGTTATTGTGAGTTAGATTGAATGTACATAGTGTATATATTGTATAGAATGTAGATCCATGGTATATAAAAATGACATAGTCTGCTGAATATGTACTGTATTAAAAAAATAAATAATTAAAAAAGAAAAGGGAAATGGTTTAAAAAATAAATTGATGCCCTGAACATAAAAGTTTCAGAAAATAAACATTTAACACTGATTTTTTTTAAATACTCTTTAACTAATGGATTTTATCCTTGAGGGTTTTTTTTTTTCCTTCTTTCCCTACAATTTTTCCAATATGCATTTCACTTACCGCTTGGCAGAGGCTAGTATGTTTGGTCTGGGTTACGCCCCCAACGAACACCACACATGTCAGGAAAATATGAAAACTGAGGTTCATTAACATGTGCCAGCTTTTAAGACTGATCCTGATGACACTGTGGAATAATAAAAAAAAAAAAACCACAGCAGTTATTTTGCAGACAAACCTAAATATTATTCAATTAGACAAAGAAATTATTTGTAATTATGGTCCCCAAAACTTGAATCCATCCTGGTAAACTCAAATATTCAATGCAAAAGCATACTTACAAACATTAAATAAGATGCCTTTATAGTAGCAGAAAGAAAGCCCAAATCAGGCATTGTTATCAACTAAGGCTGATTATTTCAATCTTCAGGGAAGGTTTTCTACCGTAACGTGATTAAAAACACCTTCTCTTCCTGTCAATTGCAAGGATTTTAGAGCCCGTTTTAGAATAAATGCCCAATTTCCATGAAATCACCCTGATGGCTTAATTTATGTAAATGTTCTAGAACAAGGCCAATACTTTTCAGATTTCAACTGACGTTCAGCAGCGAGTTGATTTCTTGCAGAAAACTCTCTGGTATTATTCACCTCTGAGATCTCTCTGAAGCTACGTTAGGCTAAATTTTGGAAATCACATCACAAATTACTCTATAAACATGAGAAAGGGGGGGGGGAAACAGATGATTTTATTTGTCCCTCTTCTATTTAGGATGCTGTGTCAGTCCAAAATAAATTAAACCATGAAAAAGCAAATTATTAAATGAGTGAATTTTGCAAGCGTTCTCTAGAGCAGCAACAAATATTAGAGCTATGTAACTCTTGTTTAAAGGATGTACCAGCAAAATTACAAATATTTCAAAATAATTAAAAGAATAGAATCTCTCTGCCCGAAGCTGGTCCCAAGTATAAGACCTCTCTCTCTCTCTCTCTCTCTCTAATCTAACAATCTTATCTATATCTATCTTATCTATATCTTATCTAACAATCTTTATCTATCTATCTTTATCTATCTTTTATCTATCTTATCTATATCTATCTAATCTAACAATCTTATCTATATCTATCTTATCTATATCTATCAATATCTTATCTAACAATCTCTATCTGTCTGTCTGTCTGTCTATCTAATCTAACAATCATCTATATCTATCTTATCTATCTAATCTAACAATCTTATCTATATCTATCTTATCTATATCTTATCTATCAATCTTTATCTATCTTTTATCTCTTATCTATATCTATCTAATCTAACAATCTTATCTATATCTTATCTATATCTTATCTAACAATCTTTATCTATCTATCTTTTATCTATCTTATCTATATCTATCTAATCTAACAATCTTATCTATATCTTATCTATATCTTATCTAACAATCTTTATCTATCTTTTATCTATCTTATCTATATCTATCTAATCTAACAATCTTATCTATATCTTATCTATATCTTATCTAACAATCTTTATCTATCTATCTTTTATCTATCTTATCTATATCTATCTAATCTAACAATCTTATCTATATCTTATCTAACAATCTTTATCTATCTATCTTTTATCTATCTTATCTATATCTACCTAATCTAACAATCTTATCTATATCTTATCTATATCTTATCTAACAATCTTTATTTATTTATCTTTTATCTCTTATCTATATCTATCTAATCTAACAATCTTATCTATATCTATCTTATCTATATCTATCAATATCTTATCTAACAATCTCTGTCTGTCTGTCTGTCTATCTATCTATCACTCTGTCTGTCTATCTATCATTCTGCCTGCCTGCCTGCCAAGATGGCGAAGGAAGGGCTACAGGGGGTCCCCGACTTATGGCCACAACCGAGCCCAAAATTTATGTTGCCAAGCGAGAAGCTTGTTGGCTTTTGCCTCTTTTTACGACCTTCCTTTCCACCGTTCTTAAGTGAATCACTGCACTTGTTAAGTTAGTAGCCACGGTCGTTGAGTGAATTTGGCCTCCCTGTTGGCTTGGCTTTGCTTTCGGAAGGTCACCACCGGGGATCACACGACCCTGGGAAGTATGACCCAGTGACCGTGGGGGATGCTGCAACGGTCGTAAGCGTGAGCAGCAGTCCTAAGTCGCTTTTTTCAGTGCCGTTGTAACTAAATGAACTGTCGTAAGTTGGGGACTGCCCGTACTTTGGTGCTTTGAAGGGAGACGTTTTCGTTAGTGCCGGCGCAACCCCCCCCCAAGTCATCAATATTTGTTGATTTAACCCAACTAATTTAATATACATTCGGAATTATGCTACCTGTGGTGATAAATGTAGCTAATTTTGATCATCAAGAGGCACAGCAGCAGAATCACAGCAGACACATAGACAACGGGATGGAGGAGGTCAGCTGACTGGGCATCCCCTGTCAAATCCTGACAGGCAAGACAACACGACACAATTCAGAACGTTAGGATGGATTAAACATTTAGACCAGGCAAGAATGCCGCGCAACTTGAGTACAGCCCACGGGGCAACAACGAGTAAGGCGGATCGCTCCTCCCACCGTTTTCCTTCCACCTTCTCAGCAAGGGGAAACGGAGAGATTGGGTCATAATGCACAGAGCATAATTAGCACATTATTATTATAATTTTTTAAAGGAGGCCACCGGACAGGCCCGGCAGCATGTTAATGGCACGAATCGTAGCATCCGTAATGTGTGAACCGTGATTTGATAAACGTGCTAGACCCAAAACTAGCGGCGGATGTGAAGGAATGCAGCCCTGGTAAGACAGGGATGGTCGCAGTCACACTTATAATAGCAGGATGAAAATGCATTTTGTGCAGCAATGGAGGAAGGGTGCAACACAAAACGATGGCACGGCTCCAAACAGGAACGGGCAGGTCCCGAGAACAAAAAACAGCATCCCTGGGTGCTAATCCCCGGGAACAGAAAGCAAAAAGAGCCTCTTTCCAAATCCAAGTGATGCTGGACCGCTCTTTCTTTCGGTCAGAGCCACTTTTCAAGAAAACCCACCTTTTTGGGGGGGGGAGGGAACAGGGGGAGGAAGGAACATTACTTCCGTGATTTGGACAAATGCGGATATAAACGAACGGTTCTAAGTCGATTGACTACCTGTGTAATGCCTGAGCTATGTTTTTTTTTTTTTTTTCATTTCAGCAAAAAGATGAGAGAGATTTGAGCCTAGAACTCTTAAGCCCACCATCTCTCCACCCTTTTCTCTCTCTGGAAAGGGCAACCATCAGACTCGCCTGGGCAGCCAAGTTATCCCGACGGGGTTTAGCGCTTTGATATTAAACACCCCAACCAGGGCAGACATCTGGATGACATTGTCAGTCTCTCTCCCCCCCTCCCCCCCGGGCTTAGAGAGACCGAGAGACCCACCATCAGGACAGCGTAATTGCTGAGGGAGACACACTGGATGGCTGTGACGTTTTCATCCGAGAAAAGGACGCGGCACCCGTCCGACTTCCAGCCGCCCTGTCCGTCCAGCAGGTCGAAGTCCCACTGAGCTGCAACCGCTTCCGTCCCGTGCGCAATGCGCCGCAGGGTCACATTGATGGGGACGTCCCGATAGGGTGGACTCACGCCGTCTTGTTCGGTCATAAAGGAAACAAAAGAGAAAGAAAGAAAGAAAGAAAGAAAGAAAGAAAGAAAGAGGGGGGAAGGAAGGTAGAAAGAAAGGAGGGAGAGAAGAAAGAAAGAAAGAAAGAAAGAAAGAAAGAAAGAAAGAAAGAAAGAAAGAAAGAAAGAAAGAAAGAAAGAAGAAAGGGGGAAGGAAGGAAGAAAGGAGGGAAGGGAGGGAGGGAAGGGAAGAAAGAAAAAAAGAAAGGGGGTAAGGAAGAAAGGGAAGGAAGGAAGGAAAGAAGAAGGGAGGGAGGGAGGGAGGGNAAGAAAGAAAGAAAGAAAGAAAGAAAGGTATTTTTATACACAACACTACAATCAAAGCGAGGGCATTTCCAGGGCAAAGAGAGCAGGAGGAGGAGGAGGGGGGGCGTTCCAGGGCAAGGCCAGAGCGGGGACTGAAAAGGGGAGCCTGTGAAGGAGGGGCCAACCTGTTTTGGTGAGGATGACCGGGGTCACCACCCTCAGGTGTCTCCTCTCGGCGGCCAAAGGCGTGGAATTCCCCGTGGAGGGGAATAGCTTCCCGTTGCGGAAGGCCATCAGCTGGAGCCTGTAGACGGCATCCTCTGTGGGGGGCCGGATCTCCCTCCTGTGCCTTTGGGAAAACAAGGCGGGGGGCAGCTGGATCGAGGCCTCCACAACGGTGTTCTGCAAAAGGGAGCAGGAGGCGGCGTTAATACAAACCAGAGAGAGTCCTCGACGTACGACAGTTTCATGACGTTACGGCGCTGGAAAAAAGGGGGCTGGTGGCCGTTTCGCAGGAGCCCCGGCGCCGCAGGGCGACGGCACCTGGAAGACAAGCGCCTGCGCGCCCGCGCCTGCTTTTATTCACCTTCAGGGCTAGGCTGGACAAGGTATTGGAGACGTTGCATTTGAAGCCCAATTGCTTGTCCAGACCCCCGTCCAGATCTCTGCGCCCGTAGTCGGAGAAGGCCGAGCGATCCGCGGCCGCCATCTTTTGGAAGACGGTGCAGGTCATCCCCGTGAAGCTGGAGCCCTTTATCACGTACGCTTCCACTGCAATGTTTGGAGAATACTGTTGGAATGAAACGACACGGAACCAAATGCTGTGCTGGTGCTGCAGGAAGAGGCAAAAAAAAACAGCTCCCCAAATACGCCAGGTTTGTTAGGACGGTAAACGTCCGAAGAACGGAACTTGGAAGACCAGGCCCCTGGTGGCGAACCTATGGGACTCAGAGCCCTCTCTGTGGGCACGCGCACCGTCGCCCCAGTCGTAGGCCTTCAGCTGGGTTTTATCAAACCTTTTCTCTTTAGGCCTCCGCCGCCGTGTACAAAAAAAAAGGTTCAATCAGTCAATTTCAACTTCTCGCGGGGAAAAAAAAGATCTCGCAAAGTTGGAATTGATTGATTGAACTTTTTAGTCCCACCCAGTCTGCCGTTACCACTGCAGCCACGCCCACCCAATGGGCACGCCCACCCAATGGGCCACACCCACCCAATGGGCCACACCCACCCAGCACCCAATGATACATAAGTGGGTTTTGGGTTGCAGTTTGGGCACTCGGTCTCTAAAAGGTTCGCCATCACTGGACTAGGCATTACTAAAAATATATATATATAATAATCTATATAAATAAAAATGTAAATGTTCATTTGTTCAAAATCTTAAATCTCCGAAAGTTCTTCACTGATTGCTTTGAAATTCTGACACAACGTTGCATTCGAATACGTGCGTGTTTTTATATACCTACTATTATATAGATGTCACACCTGTGACAGGTAAAAACATGCTTTTTTTGAAAAACAGCGCCATCTGTTGCGCTTTCTCTTTTCTTTCTTTTCCATTTAACCAGACTGAGCCACAGCAACATGTGGCCGGGTACAGCTAGTAGTAGTAGTAGTAGTAGTAGTAGTAGTAGTAGTAGTAGTAGTAGTAATAATAATAATAATAATAATAATAATAATAATAATAATAATAATTAAAAACAAAACCCAATCGTCTGTCTGTCCACTGCAAGAGGATATGGGAAAAGGCTTTCTACCCCCTCACCAGTTAAGGTCTACTTGGATCACTCAGCCTTCCATCCTCCCAAGGTCGGTAAAACGAGGACCCAGATGGTTTTTGTGTTTGTGTGTGTGGGGGGAAGAGGCGGACTCTGTAAACTGCTTAGAGAGGGGGCTGTGAAAGCACTACGAAGCGGCATGTAAGTGTAAGTGCGATTGCTATTATATGATCAAGAAAAACAACAGCAACACGGGAGAAGTCACCCATCTTTCGAACCGCTACCCAGGTGCCCCTCCCACAGGGATGGGGAGGAGGGATTTTATTCCCCTGTGCAACTTTGCCTTGATCTGTCCCGTTTCCAAATTTTATCTTTCCCCTGTGCCAAATGCCGTCCTCTTCGGCTTACTTTTCAGAGCGTTACGATGCCGATACGACGGGATTCCGACCCCTTTTGCGAGCATTTCAATGAAAATTAAACGCGGCCTTCACTATCAATGGAAAAGAAAATAGTCCTTACCGTTGAGTAAACCTGGGCCCCGTTAGCTAGCCGGTAGGTTGCGATCCGTTGTAAGCACTGTACAATCCTACTACAGGCTCTGACTTCCCTCTGGGCCATCCAGAGTATGTGTTCATCAGCCAGCATGATGTTACTAGCGATATCCACCATCACGTCCCCCAGCTGGCAGGAGAAGAGCGGGAGAAGAATTGCCATTCTCAGCTCTGGCATCAGTTTTGCACGCAAGATCCCCAAAGGTTTATTCATTACGTTTCCCCCATTCCCCACTCAAGAAACTCAACAAGCACTTTACCTTTGTATTCTCATTCATTCAAATGCACAAACAGGAAAGGATCAAGGAGAGAAGCAACCTAGAACTAAGGAGAAACTTCCTGACTTTTAGAACAATTAACCAGTGGAACAACCTGCCTCCAGAAGCGGTGAATGCTCCAACACTGGAAGTTTTTAAGAAGAGACTGGACAGCCGTTTGTCTGAAATGGTATAGGGTTTCCTGCCTGAGCAGGGGGTTGGACTAGAAGACCCCCAAGGTCTCTTCCAACTCTGTTATTCTGTTATTCTGCTATTCTGTTTTCCTTCCTTCCTTCCTTCCTTCCTTCCTTCCTTCAGGTTTTTAAATGGCTGTTCAGACAAATGGACAGCCATTTGTCTGAAATGGTTATAGGGTTTCCTGCCTGAGCAGGGGGTTGGACTAGATGACCTCCAAGGTCCCTTTCACCACCATCATCATCATGATCATCATGATCATGATCATCATCATCATCATCATCATCATCACTACTCCAGTGGGTCTGAATTTAACCCTTGGTAATGTCACACATTCTATTTATATCTTAACTCTCTCTTTTTTTTGGTCCCCTCAGCCGTTTCATTTTTAATGACGGTGCTTTAGCTGTTTATCATACCCACATTTTGTTCTCCTAGTTTTCCTACCCCTCAAAACTCAAATCGATCCTTCAGCAGTAACTTCCTGTGCTGCAGATCAGAAAATGCTTTCCCAACAAATGGAGCAGAGTTCTTAATAATAGTTGGTCATAAATTGCCCATTTAAATAATATACTGAAATAAAAGCTTTTGGGTGCGCTCCTGAAAAAAAAATATGTTCAAGTAGGCTTTCCCCCAAAGCATGAGATAAATACAAAGTTTGTGTCTGCAAAATCGGAAATTAAGGTAATCCGATTGTGTTGGGGTCTTGTAATTAAAATAAAGGAGACAGTGAGGAAAAATTTAAACCCTCCTGGGTCGCCTGGAGTTACCCAGGCACTGTGGGCTGAAGCCCACAGACACCACGGCTGGAAAGAGTTGACTTACACCCACTGAGTTATGTGGCATACTTTTTTTTTCCCCCCCCTCGAACTCATTTGAATTTCATGAGGAGCAATTAATTTTCTCCTGGCGACAAACAGCTCTTCCCTTCCTGCTAATTGACTAAAGTGGAACAAACAAGTTGTTCAGGAAATATTTTATCAAGAATTATGCCTTGCCTTCATTTGGCCTTTAAAATTGTCTGGCAAACATTCCACCGAGTGTTTCCCTGGTGTGAATCGGCAACGAAGCTGCCACAGGTGTGTGTTTCTGGGCTGCAAAACACACTTATCGAAATCTCCAACTTAATCTTCCAGCTGTTTTTGTTTTAATGTGCTTCAGGTTTCGACAAACGGGAGGGAATCCGTTTTGCAATAACAAAAATGGGAAGCTGGAGATAAGACTGCCATACCGATTTAAAAATACAGATTTCAGGGGGAACAAAAAATAGCACAGCTATTCACTCACCTTTATTTTGGCTTCTATATAAACTGCTTATTTTAGTGCTAACTAAAGTATTAAACATTGAATCAAGAAACTGTAAACCTACATTTTTATAGCTCAGCAAAATGACTAATACGGTTTCACTAAGCCAGATTAAAATATATTACATACTTGTATCAAAAGCCTTGCTCCTGAATTTCCTTATTATTTTTATAGAGTTAGCTATTGTCAAAACAGTAGCAAAGCTAGCATTTGTGTCTGACAGTCTGGACTTCATAAATCACAGCACAAAAAATATTAATCTTACTGCAACTATCTAGTCCAGGGGTAGGCAACCTCAGCTCTTTTATGACTGGTGGACTCCAACTCCCAGAATTCCTGAGCCAGCCATGCTGAGGGGAAAGGGAGAGGTTTCCAAGCTGAGCCATGCTGGCTCAGGAATTCTGGGAGTTGAAGTCCACCAGTCATAAAAGGGCCAAGTTTAAAGACCCCTCACTTAGAGGAACATATGAAAGCATAATTAATGTTAATTAATGTAGACTTTATTAGTTTAGAGCAGGGATAGGCAACCGTGGCTCTTTTATGACTCGTGGACTTCAACTCCCAGAATTCCTGAGCCAGCATGGCTCAGCTTGGAAACCTCTCCCTTTCCCCTCAGCGTGGCTGGCTCAGGAATTCTGGGAGTTGAAGTCCACCAGTCATAAAAGGGCCAAGGTTGCCTATCCCTGAATTCTAGTCATACATGTCACACATTTTAGATCGCATTAAAGCCCACTTGTATAAATGTGGAATTCCAGCACCACGAATCTTCACCGTGTGAATTTTAAAGAACTTGAGTGCTTTTGATTTCAAAGGCTCTTTTGATACGATTGCATTTGTTGAAGGGCCGGTTGTTTTGAGCATTCAAAGATGCCCGCGTGGGAAGGCTGCCTTCTAAATGTGACGGGACGAAGGCCCTTTTCACGAGAAAATATGGCTTTTGAAGAATATTTGGGACTGTGCTAAAAATCATTACCTCTTTGTATTTCTCGGCAAATCTTCCAAATTTTTCTATCATTTCAGCCACGAAAATAACATCCATTTTGTCAGAGAAGTTTGCTGCTTCGACAGTGTAGGCTAAGAGCTGCCGGGCGGTGGCTACCGCGTTGGTGAGATTCAGCGGCATCTGCACGAAGGACATAACATGCCGCATTAAAGGTGCAGGAAAATGGCGCTTTTAAATAAAATACATCCGAGAAATCAGAAATGGACTCTACATTGACCAAAACGCTCCAATAGCGGAGTGCAGCTTTGTTTGTGTAAAAAATCAAGAAACCTTTCAACCTCCTGTGACATCGTAAAGCTGCCTAAATCCAAATTCACTGGGCATTGAATAAAACACATAAAGAGAGCACTAAACATTTTCTTCTCCTATTTTATTGGGAGTATCTTCTCACCATCCACCTAAGAATCATTCAGAGATGAGGGCTCCCAACACCTGTGTTTATTTGGCCTTAAGCGTGTTGATCCTGGGCTACTTACTGGAAATATATCTGAGCTGCTCTGATGATTTTGATTAAGGAGAAGGAGACACAAAGCCACTAAATAAACCACTGAGACACCAAATAAGACTTCCTGATCTTCAAAGGCAGGTCTTACTACGAATAAGGCATAAACAGCAAGTAATAGCAGTAACAATAGGACTTATATACCTCTTCATAATGATTTACAGACCTCTCTGAGCGATTTACAGAGTCAGCCTGTTGCCCCCAACAATCTGAGTCCTCATTTTACCGACCTCGAAAGGACAGATAGAAGGCTGAGTCAACCTTGAGCTGGTCAAGATTGAACTTCCGAACTTCCGGCAGCCGGGAGTCAGCGGAAGTGGCCTGCAGTGCTGCACTCTAACCACTGCGCCACCAAGGCTCTTAAATAACCTGGTTCAATGGACAGCTGAAGTTTTTATGTTATAAAGCAGAGGTCCCCCAACCTGTTGGGCACCAGGGACCGGTTCCGTGGGGAGAGGTTTTTCCACGGACCGGAGGGTGCGTGGTTTTGTGTGCTGCCTGCATCCCGCGGATGGGGCTTTGCTTGTTTGTGTGGACCGGTTCCTGGCATGTCGCGGCCCGGTACTGGTCCACGGACCGGGGGTTGGGGACCCCTGCTATAAAGAATTCTTTAGGAACGAACCAACGAACCAAACAAAATGCATTTCCTGCTTCGTAAAGCAATTCTTTGGCAACGACGATAAAAAAACTAGCACCGGTCCAAAACACAGCACAACGATCAGTTAATTAATTCTCTATTTAAATAGACACAAAGATGACTAAACGGCAGTAGGGATCCCGGATCTGTTGAATTATATAAAGGCATTTCAAAGGCATCAGTATTAAAAGTGTCCCACGAAAGGTGAGTGGGAAGGAGCACGGCTGACCTGATTAAACATATACAGGACCCGCGTGGCATCGTTGGCGTACTGGCAACGGGAGTAGTCCCCTTCGGCCCAGAGGCCTCCCCTGCCACACCTCCGCCATGCCCTCCTCTCGTCCTGGGAGCTGCCCATGTAGATGCCGCTGCCGGCCGAGTACCGCGTGCAGAGCACCTGGGCAGCCAGGCCCGCCAGAGTTCTGGGCCACCTGGAGGTCGGGAGACAAAAGAGGACATCGGCTGACCCAGCGACAGGAGGAAACGCCCCCAAGGAAGAGCAAAGTCCGGTCAGCTGCCTCTTGGGAAAGCCTCTGTGGGGCAAGCGTGACCCGGACGACGGAGAATCTCCCAGGACATCTTCCCCCCCCCGTCAGCACCACTTCAGGAGTAACTTTTTCAGCCTCATTTCCACCGTAGTAATTTGTGAGCGCTTCTTAAAATGATTGTCATAAGAGCTGAAGGGCACGTTGGAGCATTCTCCCTTTTTATCCTCATTATCATAACTTGAAGGACTGGTGGCAGCTTCCTGCTAAATAAAGATACCGGCTCTGCAGTTGTTTTTAATTACCCCAGTTCAGAAAAGTAAGACATAGTTCATTATTTGGGAGGGGGGGTGACGCTCGAGTTAAAGGGCTACCGACCTGGGTTTTTTTGACACCTCTCCTCACCCACCTGAAGTCCCCTTTGTTGTTGACCACCCTCTCCGGCGGGCAGTACTGGGCAGAGCTGTTCAGGACCACAATGTCCACCGTCCTTGAATTGTTCCCGCGCCTGGAGTGCACGTGACACCCCCAATTTCCAGTAGATCCAGCTTGAATGTTTGAGATGGTCAGGGCACTTTGGTGAAAACAAGCAAGAGCAGCATTAGAAATTGTACCAAGTCATTCCCCAAAAGGTCAATTATTTCACTGGCAAGAAACAATGAATTATTCTGTATCGGGGTGGGCGACGATGGCACCTTTACGAGCTGCGGACTTCGACTCCCAGAATTCCCGAGGCAGCAGGCTGAAGTCCACAGGGTGTAAATTTGACACAGTTGCCCATCCCTGTTCTATATTAAGGCCTCCAAAACTAACGATGAGATGCCTTAACAATGAGCCAGACGTCCCACCAGGCGAGGTTGTAGGATCTTGCCAACACACAAGAACTGATCCTTCCATCCAGCAGCTACTCCAAACTGTGGCTTAAAAACCAACGTGGAGCTTTCACGTGAGAAAACACGGCGCAAATGAGATTTAAAGAAACTGCCGCAATTATACAATGCGGTAGACGAGCAGGTTTCTATAGCGAGGAAGGACGAGCAGTTCTTCTGCTTTTTTAAAAATATTCAGGAGATTATTTTAGAAGAAGGGATAATTACGAAGCGAATCAGGGAAACTATTTAGAGTTCCTTTAAGTAGCAATTACCTGCTGTGAGAAAGCTCCTTGTGTAAACAGACACAGCATACGTGTCTCGGTGCCCATTTAAATAAAAGGGCTAAGAATAGGCAGCAGAACCAGAGTTATTTATTTATCCCGCTCACCTGGCAATGACAGAGCAGTTACGAACCATGTTCTTCTCCACAAAAATCCCCTGGGATTCATCGGTTTCCACAATCTTCCCATCCTGGTACCACAGGACCTGCATGTCTTGATCAATGTAGGACACCATGCACTGGAAAGGCAGACTGTCTCCTTCAAAGACAAGCTGCCGGTGGGAGGGGGTCATGGAGAAGGACGGCAGCTCCAGGGGAGGGTCTGTTTTCCATGGGGGAGGGGAGGGGAGACACACACAAAAAACACACAACGCGATTTTAGCTATACCCTGACATACAAAAAAATAAAGGCAGGCCTCATGTTACAGCCAAAAAAACGAGCCCAAAATTTCTATTTCTAAGTCAGTGGTTCTCAACCTTTTTAATGCCACGACACCAACCGGTCGTAAGTCGAGGACTAAACCGGTCGTAAGTCGAGGACTAAACCAGTCGTAAGTCGAGGACTACCCAACCGGTCGTAAGTCGAGGACTTTTCCTGCCCAGGAGCGCCGCGCATGCGTGGTTCTGCCCCCTGCGCCGGCCGAGGCGTAGCTGGCAAGCGGCAGAGACGGAGCAGGCCGACCACCAGCTGGCCCAGCCCAAGGGAGGTAAGGCACCTGCCGGAAAAGGGGGGAAAAATGGCGGACAAAAAAATGGCGGACAGCCTTGCTTGGTGACCCCCGTGAAATGGTCGATCGACCCCAAATGAGGTCCCGACCCACAGGTTGAGAACCACTGTGCTAAGTGAAACATTTGTTAAGTGAGCTTTGCCACATTTTACAGCTTTTCTTGCCCCAGTTGTTACGCGTATCACTGCAGCTGTTCTGTTAGCATATTCGTTTTGTTGCTTTGGCAAAACAGATGGTTAAGCAAATGCAGGGCATAGGTAGATAAGATTGTGCCAAGACAAGAACAACGGTGACACTGGATATGCAAACGGTCATTCTTACAGGAGCACAACTGATTTACCAAAGCACACGCCTCAAAACGTATCAAGTAAACTTATTTTAAAAAGAGCAGGTGAAATGCACTTCCTTTTGTGTGGCTAAGGAAAAGATGATTGTGGTTCTGCTGTATGTTGTGAATTAGTTATGCATTGTATTTTTTAAAGCTAAAGATAGGGAAAAAAAACCAGCATATGAAGGATTGAAAAAATAAGCTTGACATGTTTTACTATCGTCTATTAAAGAGAATTTAGGTCCAAGGGATTCAGGAACAGAAAATATTCACTTTTTGAACAATACTTACTAAGAAAATCAGCATTTTTTTTTTTTAAATCCAATCATGATGGCTGAGCAGCTTCATAAAAATCAATGACAAAATATCAAATTGTAAGAAAATTAGAAGAAAAAAATTTATGCTGGGGAGAAACTTGATACATTCCTTTTAAATTGATGACCATTGTGCCTTAGCATTCTTACCACATGTTAGAAGCCCTTGCTTTACACTCAGAATTGGTTGAGCCTGTAGTGATTTTGGATATGCACATCTGGTGTCACGAACAGTTATATTTCTTTCTTGTAACCACTGCTGCATCCATAGCATATTACAATCACAAAGCAGATAATCTGTCTGGAATTCGCTGAAATAATTTAAAAAAAAAGAATCAATGTAATTAAGCTTAAAATAATTGAAATTCAGTAATTAAAATACCCAGGATCAAGCTATACTGTAGCTTCACTATTAACTAAGTTCTAAAATTTTAACAACCTTTTTTAAAATAAATAAATAAAATAAAATAGGGCACTACTGCATTATTACATTCTAGTAGAAAGTTATGACAATTAAAAATAGTATGAAATGGTATATGTCTCTTAGCCTGAGTCTTGGAATCATGAAGAAACCTAATAAACTGAAAGGTTACAAAATCTACTGAAGAATTAGATTATGTCCATCAAATAACTCATACGGTTGTACTTACAGAGCTTTTAATGAAGTTAGATGATCGAAGGTTCCTTGGGCAAGCAAAGAAAATAAGTTTCCTGACAGATTTCTAGGAAATGTGGAAACACAAACATTTTAGAAACCTCCACAATGTGTCAACCTAGAGTCTTCCAGTCACATCCCCTCTTATGTACATTTTAGAATTTCATGATTTCTCTCCTTTCAAGGGCCAAGAATATACCATAGATGGGCTTATAAGCAGTTCTGTCTGGGGTCTGAAGGATTTTTTGGGGTGATTTTGAAAATTTTGGGACACCCAAGCTCATTAATGCCTATCTTTTGAGGGTATATGATGCGCTCTGAAGATTGATACATGATGATTACTTCCAAAGTTATACTACTCTGTTCTTTGTCATGGAAAACCTGTAGAGAGACACGGGAGTACCAGAAATCCTGCCTAGATTTATTTTCTGCTTCTGACAGTATATTTAAAGCAAAAGTGACTGAAAAGTCAAGGAATAACGTTTCTACAAATTTGGATTACACAGAAAGAAAGTCATGTAAGATATCTTTGAATACATTCCACAATCCCTACCAACTGTTGGTAAGATTACATATTTTGTGCTACAGCTGTTAACAAGGTTGTGTCAACTCATCACTCAGCGCTTGATGATTAAATAGCAGCTTAAAAAAACAGCATACAAACATAATGTGCTAATTCATGGAATATATATGGAAAGGGAGAGCAAGAACTAAAATGCAGGTAACGAGAAGTTTAGACAGAACCACCAGATGCAGAGTACGTAGACATTGGTAGTTAATAAAAGGAATGAAAAAACCCTACTGCAGTAGCTAATGGAGGAAAAACCCCCCTGGAAACCACTTTTCACACCATTCTTTCTTTTCCACTTTATTTAATAAAACATTTTGCTTTATTTATTTTTTTAGGAAGTAACAAATACATCAAACTTGACTTACAGTCTAATGAGGTTTGTTAATCCTTTAAAAATATCTGCATTCAGGCATCCTATTTGGTTATTTGTTAGATCTCTGTTGAAAGAGGGACAAGATATGAAAAACTGCTATACACACAATTGACACCTTTATCAAAATTATCAAATCACAGAACACAGAGGTCTCCCAGTGTCCTCCTCCCCCACCCGCTTGAGCAGTAGATCAGTAAATGAGTCGAGATTCAGTAAATTCAGCTTTATGTGGCCTCATTTCCTACTCTTCCCACCATCCTCTCTGCACTGTAACATTAGTTCCAGAACGAATCTGTCCAAGGCAGGAGGTTATTGGTGATTACAAACACTGGAGAGCTGAAACAAGACGCCCTAATGCTATAGAGTAGACAACATACTAAAGAAGGTTAGGGCCGCACAGGTCAATAAGGCAATTCAGCAACTAGAACAGTGGTTCTCAACCTTTTTAATGCCGCGACCCCAACCGGTCGTAAGTCGAGGACTAAACCGGTTGTAAGTCGAGGACTAAACAGTCGTAAGTCGAGGACTACCCAACCGGTCGTGAGTCGAGGACTTTCCCTGCCCGGGAGCACCGCGCACGCGTGGTTCCGCCCCCTGCGCCGGCCGAGGTGTAGCTGGCAAGCGGCAGAGACGGAGCAGGCCGACCACCAGCTGGCCCAGCCCAAGGGAGGTAAGGCACCCGCCGGAAAAGGGGAAAAAATGGCGGACAAAAAAAATGGCGGACAGCCTTGCTTGGCGACCCCCGTGAAATGGTTGATCGACCCCAAATGGGATCCCGACCCACAGGATGAGAACCACTGAACTAGAAGTAAAGCATCAACTCAAGGAACATTCTCAGAGTAATTCTACTTTACGGAAAAATCTGATGAATACATTGACATTGGAGAAATCAGATTTGCAGGAAATCCTACGTGCCAGCTGAGTTTATTCTCCATTAAGTATGTACAGAGTTGAAACCTGTCTTAAAAAGATGTCGACATCAGCCTTTCTAAACCCTTTTACCCTGGGGGAGCCATCAGAAAAATATTCAGATTTCAGGGAATACCCGATTTAAAAAAAAAAAAAATCACAAAGACAACCCCCAAAAATCCACAATTCATTTTTAACCTGCACGAACGGGCTTTGCCATGTTTACAAGAACAGTGAAGTGACCTGCTGATAACTGAATAGCAGCATGTAAAAAAAAATCCCCACAGATTAAAAATAATCTTGTAGAACAGAGGTCTGGTTTATACCTTTCAGGAATACGGACTCACGAGTGGGGAGCTGAATGAACATTATACACAATATTCCAAAGCAGAAAATGTTTTGGTTTAAGTGAAGCTAACTAGACCAGTGGTTCTCAACCTTTTTAATGCCGCGACCCCCAACCGGTCGTCAGTCGAGGACTAAACCGGTCGTAAGTCGAGGACTACCCAACCGGTCGTAAGTCGAGGACTTTCCCTGCCCGGGAGCGCCGCGCAAGCGTGATTCCGCCCCCCTCCGCCGGCCGAGGCATAGCTGGCAAGCGGCAGAGACGGAGCAGGCCGACCACCAGCTGGCCCAGCCCAAGGGAGGTAAGGCACCCGCCGGAAAAGGGGAAAAAATGGCGGATAGCCTTGCTTGGCGACCCCCGTGAAATGGTCGATCGACCCCAAATGGGGTCGCGACCCATAGGTTGAGAACCACTGAACTAGACGTTGCAAGTTGTGCTTGTGGATTCAAGCTACCCCACCTTTCTATTGTAACATTTCATTTATATCCAAGTTTATAAGAAGGTCAATACTTACAATCTTTTCAGGGATGTAAGTCCTAGAAAGGCTCCTGGATCTATCACGCTAATGAGATTGTTCTTGAGATCCCTGTTTCAAGAAAAAAAGGCAAAACAGAATATAGTATATTAACAGAAATATTATAACCTCGTGCCTGTTTCTCCCCAAACTCAGTTGTGACTTTGTACGTCTATACAAAGACTAAATAATGGAAGACCTTTTTATCTAGCTTACTCATTGGCATCTGCTTTATCAGATTTACAATTAAGATGTCTCTGAAAGATACATCCAGATTAAACCAAGAAAAAGTACAATTCCTCTTTACAGAGAAAATTCCCAGTGTGGAGGAAGACTCTGACAATCCACAGCATCCTTTATCCTCTTAGCTAAAATGCAATCATAAGAAAAGTGACGAGGTAACAATATCAGGGGACAAAGACACAGCCCATGAGTAAAAGGCCGAATGCAACATTTAAGCCTCAAATATGGAAGAATTCCTTTTTGTTCTTACCTTGAAAAAAAATCATAAATACAGTTCAAAAGGACCCACAGAATACACACATGATGAATTACTTCAGTGCAAATGGTTTCTAGATGCTGAGTGATCCCCTCACTCACATGAATCTACCTGGCCATCCCTTTTCTCCTCAAATCCCAATGTGGTCCCATTTGACTGAGGTCAGAAACACTGAGAAAATGCATAGTTACGATGCTGTGATTAACTCATTCAAAATCAAGTTTTAAAATGTCACAGGCACGCCTCTGCAGGTATAGGATTAAGGTGACACCGCAGGCTTCCTTCCTGAACCATTACTACAAATATTCTAGCTAGGATGTCTTGCATCTTGTGTCACCCAGTGAGACAAAACCCTGGCCAAGGCTTAGCTATCAAGTCTGAAATTGTTAGGGGAAACATTTATTGTAAGGGACTTGAGCTCAGAATTGCTGCAAAATAACAGCACCAGGACGATTGTGTTGTTCACTGAAATGGGTCCACTGGCAGCATTCCCGAATGCAGCTGCCTGTGGATCTGGTTACACACACACACACACACACACACACAGAGAGAGAAAGAAAATAAGCTTCTCTGGACCCCCTGTATGTGGGACTCAAGATGCCCAAGTGGGAAAGTCATGGATCTCTGTTAAAAGTTATCTTTTTAATCACAAAGTGATCCTACAGTGAGATTAGATGCTAATCCCACAAGGCAGTGATTTCATACTCAAACAATTACCTGAATATACAATAGTATTGCACATAAACTCCTATCAAAACACATTGCTGTGTCACTAAAGGCTTGCACTAATTAGCGCAGTTCCTGAAACAGATTACAATCAATTCTCACCTGAGCAAACTAAGAAGCCAACCAGCACGCAGTCAGTGGACTGATTAATGAAAAGCTGTCAATATGCAGCGTTGCTAGGTATGATGGGATAATCAGGAAAACTAATATTTGCAAGATGCCACATTGATATTCATCAACCATGGTTTTAAGCATCTAACCTTAACCTATCTAAGATTTGTCTTTTAGCTGAGCCACCAGTCAGAATGTTGTATTTGAGCTCAAATAAATTAGGAAATGATTGAATCCTTGCCACAATCTTTCAAAGATAAGGACATCACTCTTGGCAGTGAACCTATCTTGTATGCCGAAAAAACTCAGTTGGGTTTTTACTCCCTGAATAGCTGCCACAAACCGAGTGCAACAGTCAAGTGGATCCAATCATATAATGTAGTATAAGGCTATACGACCCAAAACTATTGAACTACATTACATAAAGCTCCTGAATAAAGAAAATCTGGTAGGTATGCCCAAAGGGGCAAGTAAAGCAATTTAGCTGTAACCAAGAAGAACTTTAGGGAGAAAACTGAATGGCAAAATCATGATATTGTCTAACAGCCAAAAAAGGCCGCAGACCTTTATTCACTCCTTCAGCCA